TATTTATTTGAGTTTTCTCCTTTTTTCTTACTCTAGTTAAGGTTCGTCAATTTTGTTTATCCTTTTCAGAAATCAACTCTAAGTTTTGTTGATTTTTTTTCTATTGCTTTTCTATTCTCTACTTGATTGAATTCTGCTCTAATCTTTATTTCCTTCTGATAACTTTGAGTTTACTTAGTTATTCTTTTTTGAATTCTTTGAGGTGTCAAATTAGGTTTTGTACTTGAGATCTTTCTTCTTTTTAAATGTAGGCATTTATCACTGTAAACAACCCCATTAATAGTGCTTTTGCTACAATCCATCAGTTTTGGCATGTTGTGTTTTCATTTGTCTTGAGATATTTTTAAAATTCCCTTTTGATTTCTTCTTTGACCCAATGGTTGTTCAACATTGTGTTTTTTAGTTTCCAGGTATTTGGGAAATGCCCCATTTTATTGTTGTTATTGATTTCTAGTTTAATTTCATTTTGGTCAGAAAGATCTATTTTGGAGGATGTCCCATATGTACTTGAGAAGAATGTATATTCTTCTGTTGTGGGGTGGAAAGTTCTGTATATGTCTGTTAAGTTCATTTGATTTATATGTTGTTCAAGTCTGCTGTTTCCTTATCTGGCTGGTCTATCCATTATTCAGAGTGGAATATTGAAGTCTCATACTTTTATTTTATTGCTGTCAATTTCTCCATTCAGATTGCTCAATATTTGCTTTATATACTTAGGTGCAGTGATATTGGGTGCACATGTAATTGTTATATCTCTCTGTGGAACTGACTGTTTTATCATTATATAATGACCTTCTTTGTCTCTAAAGACTGTTTTAGAGTTTAATTCTATTTTTTCTGATGTAGGTATAGCCACTGCTGCTTTCTTTTAGTTACCATTGGTATGGAATATCTTTTTTGATCTCTTCATTTTCAACATGTTTGTCCTTGAATCTAAAGTGAATTTCTTGTAGACAGCATATAGTTGGATATTTGTTTTTAATCCATTCAGCCACTCTGTATTTTTTGATTGGGGACATTAAACCATTTTCATTTAAAGTAGTTATTGGTATGGAAGGATTTGTCATTGCCATTTTGTTAACTTTCTGTTTGTTCTTTTTTCCTTTTTTTCTCTCTTTCTGTTTTCCTTTGGGTGTGTATTTTTGTATTGTTAGAGTTGATTCCTTTTTCTTTTTCTTTCTGTGTGACTTCTGTAAGTATTTTCTTTGTTGTTACCATAGTGCTCACCTAAAATGTTTTATTTTAAGTCTATTTTAAGCTGATAAAAAGCTGTTTTAACTTCACTTACATATAAAAACTCTATACTTTTACCTCTCCTCCCTCCGTGTTATATGCTATTGATGTCACAGTTTACATCTATTTATATTGTGTATCCATTAACATAATTTATAGTTATTTTTAATAATTTTGTCTTTTAACTTTAGACTAAATTAAAAGTGATTTATCCACAACCATTACAGTAATGTGATATTCTCTTTTTGTCTGTATATTTAACTTTACCAAGGAGGTTTATACGTTTATCTGCTTTTTTGTTGCTGTTTAACATCCCTTATTTTCAACTTGAATAACTCTCTTTAGCATTTCTTGTAAAGCGGGTCTAACAGTGATGAACTCCTTCAGGTTTCATTTATCTGAAAAAGTCTTTATCTTCCCTTCATTTTTGAAGGACAGGTTTTCTGGGTATAGTATTCTTGGTTGATAGGTTTTTTTTCTGTCAGCACTTTGAATATATCATCCCACTCTCCTCTGGCTTGCAAGGTTTCTGAAGAAAAATCCACTGATAGTCTTATGGGAGTTTCCTTTTATGTAACAAGTTGCTTTTCTTTTATTGCTTTTGACAATTTGATTATAAAGTGTCTTGGTGTGGTTCTCTTTTGATTCAACTTATTTGTTGTCCTTTGAGCTTCCTAAATCTGGATGTCTGTTTTTCACTAAGGTTTGGGAAATTTTCAGCCATTACTTCTTTGTGTAAGCTTTCTGCACTTTCTCTCTCTCTTCTCCTTCTGGGACTCCCATAATGCATATATTGGTCTATTTGATGGTGTCCCATAAGTTCCTTAAGCTAACTTCACTCTTTTTCATTCCTTTTTTCTTTTTGCCACTCTGACTGGATGATTTCCAATAAGCTGTCTTCCAGTTTGTTGGTCCTTTCTTCTGCTTGATCTAGTATGCTGTTGAATCCTCTATTGAGTTTTTCAGTTCAGTTACTGCATTTTTCAATTCTATGATTACTGTTTGATACTTTTTAGTATTTTCTTTTACTTTGTTGAAATCCTCTCTTTGTCCATGCGTTGTTCTCCTGATCTCGATGAGCATCTTTAAGGCTTGTTTTGAATTCTCCATTGAGTAAATCACATATCTCCATTTTGTCAGGGAAAGGTTTCTGGAGACTAGTCTTGTTCTTTTATTTGGAATGTATTTCCTTGTTTCTTCTTTTTCTTTTACTGTGTGTATTGGTTTCTGCACGTTAGATAAAACAGCCACCTCTTCTGGTCTTCACAGACCAGGCTCATATAATGAAGATGAACTTACTAATCAGACCAGCCAGAGATTGTAGATTCAAAGCTTTGTGCTCATCTAAACTGCTGTCTTCGTTTTTAGTCTTCCCTAGAAGACAAGAGTAAGCCGAGTGCCATAATTGCCTTGAGACAGGCAAGATAGAAGCCAGTCCCTCAAGTTGCAGCCATAAAAGCTGGGGCACTAGATGTGTGGTCCAATTCTTTCTCTCCTCAAGGAAAAGCTTGGAGGTGGAGTTTGTCACCCACTTGCTCTTGAGCCAGCGAGAGGAACTATTGCGAATACCTGCACACTCATTCAGACTGTAAGCTTTTCAAACTGTTGCTTTGCTCTCTGTTGCCCCTAGGAACCTAGTAATTGCCAGGTTCTGTCATCTCTCAGAGACAGGTGGGTTAGAAGTCTGTCCCTCAAGTAGCAACTGGAAAGTTTTGGGGATGGATGTGCAGTCCCACCTCTTTTACGGAGAAGGTGGAGGCTTGGTTTTATCACTGGAGAGGGCTGGGGGGAAGAGCCATGGGAAGATCCCACACTCCCATTCGAACTCCCAAAGGACTAGTGATTACCTGCCCATCAGCTCCCAGAGACAGGCAAGTAAGATGCCAGACCCTCAGACAGCAGGTAGATAAAGCCAGGAGACTAGATGTGCAGTCTAACCCCTTCCAGAGAGATGCTGGGATCTGGGCTTTATTGTCTGCTTGCTCTCTATGGGCCAGAGGGAAGAGCCACTGGAAGCTCTCACACACCTGTTTAAAACTGCCTCTTTGTTCTCTGGGCCTAGGAGACTAGCAACTGCCAGGCCCCATGAGCTCTCAGAGTTAGGCAAATTAGGAGCCACTCCCTTGAGTAACAGTTGTAAAAGTTGGGGCACTAGATGTGTGGTCTAACTCCTTCCAGGGAGAAGTTGGAGGCTTGGTTTTATCACTGGAGTGAACTGAGGGGAGAAGCTATGGGAAGTATACACACACTTGTTCAAGCTCCCAGAAGACTAGTAATTTCCCGCCCCACCAGCTCCCAGATGCAGGCTAGTAAGAAGCCCGTTCCTTGGGCAGCAGCTGGAAAAGTTGGAACATTACGTGTGCCGTCTAACCCCTTCCAGGTAGAAGCTGGGATCTGGGCTTTATTGCCTACTCACTCTTCACTGAGCCAGGGGGAGAACCATGGGAAGTTGTCCCCTGCCCATTTAAAACTGCCTGTTGTCTGTGGTCCCAGGGGATTAGTAAACGCCAGGCACTGTCAGCTCCCAGAGACGGGCGAGTTAGGAGCCAGTTTCTCAGGTAGCAGTCATAAAAGACAGGGTAGTAGATGTGTGAGCCACACCCTTCTCCTCAGTGAGAAGCTAGGAGTTGGGGGTTCCCTCCTGACTGTATGGTGCTGTGCTATGGGTGAGATTTATGGCAAGAGTGTGTCTCAGCTTTTCCTGCCCATTTCAATGTGGGTATTTTCTCAGTCGCCCAGGGTGTGGGAGCCTTTGAACTAATTTCTAGATTTCTCTCAGAGAGAATCGATCCATGTGTAGCGATTTATTTGTGGTATCCATGGGTGAAGGGAGATTCTGGAGCCTACTATTCCAGCACTTTGCTCTTTAAGTCCCTCTTCGATAACTTCAATATCTGAATCACTTGTCAGTCTCTTTCTCTTATCCATTTTTTCTCTCTCTCTGTTTTTTTTAGTAATTTGTCCTGATTTTTGTCATATCTCTGAATTTTTTATTGTACCATGGATGACAAATTATAGAGGCTTTGGAAGATGTTACATTTCTCCAAAGAGGATTATACTTTCTTCTGGCGGGTGGATAGAGCACCCAGTGATTTCCTTGATTCTCTTGAAGATTTGTTTTATGCTTTTCTAGGGATAATATTTTTCCATTTTCCCCTTACCATTAGGTCGTGGCTCTTCTGGAGTCTCAACTTAAACTCTGAGGTGTTTACCAAGACCCCTCTACTTTGCTGGGACTTAGTTCCAATCCAAGTCTCCCCAGCACCATGAGGTAGATGAAACTATTCAGCTCTTTAGCCTCCCAGTTGATATTTTCTTCTGAGTTTCCAGCATCTCACTCTGTATTAGCCAGTGAGTTGAGGGAAATTGGTATGTAGATGTTGGCTGCTTCTCTGCAGTTTCATCCTCTCTGAGATTTTCCCTCTCCAATTCCAGCTCCTCTGGCAGCCCTCAATTCCAACCTCTTTTTCCTTGACCTAGTAAAACTGCTTATTTCTGCTTGGGCTCTCTTCACCCATGACACAATATGGAATATATTCTTGGGCAAAAAGGTGGGTGAATGTGGAGCTGCTTCCTATGCGTCCTCTCCATCTAAAATTGTACCCCTTTAAGTCCTGCGTGTATTGGTTGCTCTTCGGTTCTTTAAATTACTGTTTTATATATTTTGTACAGCTTTTATAGTTGTTGGTGGCAGGGTTGGTCTGGTACAAGCTACTTTGTCCTGGTTGGAATTGGAGGCTGTCTAGTGTTTTAAAATTTATTATAATTATATCTATATCTTGTGCCATCAGAAAAGACGACATGTGTTCCAGAAGCCTTCTACAAGAAACTGCGCTCTCAACACAAAAGACTTGCACAGTTAATACGGGAAGAAGTGGGGTCTGATGGTCAAGGTACATTGATATTTTCTAGGAGCTGGTCTTTGGATCTAGGCTTGCAAGAGAACGAGGATGTCATCTGTGATGCTCTTCTAATTTCCCAGGACCGTCCACCAGTCCTTTATACCTTCCTCAGGGTACCAGATAAGAAGTCAAAAGGCTATTCCAGGCAAACTGCCTTAACTTTAAAGCAGAATCTGGCAAAACTTGGTCGTTACCCTGGGAAAGTGTGTATCATGATAAAGATCTTCTACTTGAGCGAAGAATCTCCTCCATTGACTGAAGGCAATGCAAGCCTTCTTTATGATTCAAGCTGCCGGGTATGTTACCCTAAGTCCTACAATCGTGTAACCACTCAAACAGTGAAAGACTTGAAGAAGGCCCTTTTTATACTCTTAAAAAGACTTGGATCTTTGAGTAACCAATTTGCCTCTGAGATTTTTCAACACCTCTTAGATAGTCAGTGTGGATTACGTTCAGAGGAATGACACAAGGATGTTTAAATCTTGTCCAATGTTCACTTCAATCATGGAAAATATACCAGGCTCCAAATTGTTTTTTTATTCTATAGCTGATGATGTTTTCTCATTCTGTGAAAATATGCCTTTGAAAAACCACAAAGTTGCAAGACAACTTGATGGGATGTTGGAAAATCAAGTTTGGCCTTTGTTTACTTCTTCCTAAATGATCTTCATAGATGTTGCTTAAAAGTTATTAGGAAAATTAATTTTTTAATTTCTCTGTGCACAGTTCGTTATTTGCTCTGTGAAGAGTTTATTATTTACTCTGTGCATAGTTCATGGATAAATTTTCTTCCATTTTTAAATTGGGAAAAATTGCAGTACTTTTATTTTTAACAGCAACAACAATAATGGAAATCTCCCAAGATATACCCAGAAAACCTTTATAACTTAGGAAAGATTATCATTGATGATGCTTACAATTTCCATAATGGAAATGAAGAAGGCGGCAAAATTTGTTACCCCTTCTCTCAAAATTCTCTAAATCTTCTTGGACTATTTTTACACTATTCCCTTGGAGGAGTTATGGCTTTCCTAATTGCTCCGCTGGTAAAATAATGACAACAGTAGACTGTGGAAAATATGTATATTTAATGTAATACCTAGAGCAAACACTATAAAAGCTATGCAGAGAGACACACTAAAAGACAAAATAGATAAATCAAAATGGAATGGTAAAAAATATTCAGGGAACCCAGAAGAGGGCAGGAAAATTAAACAGAGAAATGAAAAACAGAGAGAACAAACAAAACAAAAAATGGGAGACTTAAGCCCTAACGTGAATAATTACATTGTGTAAATGGTCTAAATACACCAGTTGAAGCCGTAGATTGGCAGAGCGGATTAAACATCATGGCGCAACTATATGCTGTCTATAAGAAACACACTTCAAATATATAGAGGTTGAAAGCAAAAGGATACAAAAAGATATATCATGCGAAGGAAAGCAGGAGTTGCTACAGTAATATCAGAGAAAGTAAAGAAAATGACCGTTGACAGAGAAGCACATTATATGATGATAAAAAGGCCAATCCACCAAGAAAACACAGGGATCCTAAATGTGTGTGCATCAGACAACAGAGCCGAAAAATATGTGAGGCAAAATGTGATAGATCCGAAAGGAGAAATAGACAAATCCACAGTTGGAGATTTCAACACCCCTCTAACAATACTTGGTAGAACAAGTAAACAAAATCTTTCAAGGATGTACAAGAACTTAACACCATTAGCCAACAGATCTAATTGACATTTAGAGAACACTCCAGCAAACAACAGAATATGCATTCTTTTCAACTGCCCACAGAGCATATACCAAGAGAGACCATAGCCTGGCTGTAAAAGACCTCAACAAATTTTGAGGCACTGAAATTATACAGAGTGTGTTCTACTAGCAAAATGGAATCAAACAAGAAATCAATAACAGAAAGATAACGGGAAAATCTCCAAACACTTGGAAACTAAAAATATATTTGTAAATAATCCATGTGTCAAAGAGGAAGTTTCATGGGAAAATTTAAAAATGCGTTTAATTGAGTGAAAATGAAAATACAACATATCAGAATTAGTGAGACAGGGAAAGCAGTGATGAGAGTGAAATGTAAGCACTGAATGTATATATTAGTATGGTAGGCTAAAGTATAGCCCTCCAGAGATGTCCACCTCTTAATCCCTGGGATTTGTGACTATGTTGATATACATGGTAAAGGGACTTTGCAGATGTGATCAAATTAAGTCTTTCAATGAGGAAATTATCTTGGATTATCTGGGTGGGCCCAATGTAATCATAAGGGTCTTTCTAGGAGGGAGACAGGAGAATGAGAGTCAAGGAGAGACATGTAAGAATGGAAGCAGAGGTCAGAGAGGAGAGAAGGTCCTACACCACTGTCTTTGAAGATGGAGGAAGGGGCTACGAACCACGGAGTATAGTCAGTCTCCAGAATGCAGAAAAGGGAAGGAAATGGATTCTTCCCTAGAGCCTCCAGAAGGAATGTAAGCCTGCTGACACCGTTATTTTAGCCTCCATAGCTGTAGGACAATAAATTCATGTTTGCTTAAGCAGCTAAATTTATGGTAATTTGTTACAGCAGCAACAGGAAGCTAATACAATTAGAAAAGTAAGAAAAGCCTCTAAGCTCCCACCTCAAGACCCGAGAAAAAGAAAAACAAAGTAAACCCAAAGCAAGCAGAAGGAAGGAAATAATAGACAGGAGAGCAAAAATCAATGAAACTGAAAATAGAAAAACAGTAGAAGAATCAATAACACAAAACACTGGTTCTTTGAAAATATCGAGAAAATTGACAAATCTCTAGCAAGATTGACAAAGTGAGAAAAGAGAGAATACAACAACTACCAATATCAGGAATGAAATAGGATATCAATACTGACCATGTAGACATCAAAAGGATAATAAGGGAATACTAAAAACAACTGTGCACACATAAATTTCACCACTTAGATGAAATGGACTGCTTCCGCAAAAAATATGAACTACCACAACTCACCCAATATGAGTAGATAATTTGAATAGCCCTATAATATTGAGGAAATCGACTTTGTAATTTAAAAACTCCCAAAGAAGAAGTCTCTAGGCCCAGATGACTTCACCGGAGAAGTCCACTAAACAATTTTTTAAAAATTAACACCAATTGTACACAACCTTTTCCAAAAATAGGAGAGTGAAAACTTCCCAATTCATTTTATGAATTCATTATAGTATTCATTTATAGGATTCACTTATGTACTACCTGATACCAAAACTAGACAAAGACAGTACAAAAAAAGAAAATTAGAGACCAATATCCTTCATGAATATGGACATGAAAATTATTAACATGATATTAGCAAATAGAATTCACTAATATATAAAGAATTATATACCATGAGTAAATGGCGTTTATCCCAGGGATGCAAGCCTGGCTTACTATTTGAAAACTGATCAATGTACTCCACCATAAAAGAAGAAAAATCTAGATGATATTGGGTTTGGCAAATGAGATTTTAGATACAACAACAAAATATTGATATGTTGGACTTTGGTAGAATTAAAAATTTCTGCTCTGAGCAAGACACTGTTAAGAGAATGAAAAGACAAGCCACAGACTGGGAGAAAATATTTGATAAACACATGTCTGATAAAGACTTGTATCCAAAATATCCAAAGAACTCTTAAAACTCAAGAAAACAAACAACCCAATTAAAAATAGGGAAAATATCTGAACAGACATCTCACCAAAGATGATATACAGATGGCAAATAAGCATAGGGAAAGATGCTTGTTTTAGTCCGTTTGGGCTGCTATGACAAAATACCACAGACTGGGTAGCTTATAAAGGTAGAAATTGATTACTCACAGTTCTGGAAGCTGGAAATCTGAGATCAGAGGCCAGCATGGTCAAGTAAGACCCTTTCTGGGTCACGGACTTCTGGTTGTATCCTCGCGTGGCAGAAGGGGCTAGGGAGCTCTGTGGGATCTCTTATAAGAGCACTAATCTAATTCATTGAGGCTCCACCTTTATGGCCTACTCACCTCTCAAAGGCCCCACCTGCTAATACCATCACCTTTAGAGGTTAAGATTTCAACATATGAATTTGGGAGGGGGGGACATAAACATTCAGACCTTTGCAATGCTCAACATTATGTAGGGAATAGTAAATCAAAATGAGATTCCACTATACACCTACTAGCATGCCTAAAACCCAAAACACTGGCAACACCAAATGCTGGCAAAGATGTAAAACAACAGGAAGTCTCACTCATTGCTGGTGGGAATGAAAAATGGTACAGTCACTTTGGAAGACTGTTTGACAGTTCCTTACAAAGCTAAACATACTCTTACCGTATGATCCACCAGTCCCACTCCTAGGTATGTCCCTAGGACTCCCAGAAGTCCACACAAAAACCTGCACATGAATGTTTATAGCAACTTTATTCATAGTTACCCAAAACTGGAAGCAATCAAGATGTCCCTCATTAGGTGAATGGATAAACAAACTGTGGTACAGCCATACAATGGAATATTATTCTGAGATAAAAAGAAGTGGGCTTCAAGCCACAAAAAGAGATGGAGGAAGCTTAAATACATATTGCTAAATGAAAGAAGCCAATGTGAAAAGGCTATGTACTATGTGATCTCAACTATATGACATTCTGGAAAAGGCAAAATCATAGAGACAGTAAAAAGATCAGTGGTTACCAGGGGTTGGGAGGTTCACCAGTTGTAACAAGTGTACCACACTAAGGCAAGATATTAGAGAAACTATGTATTGGAGTGGGGAGTGGGGAGGTATACGGGAACTCTCTGTACTTTTTGTGCAGTTTTTCTGTAAACCTGAAACTGTTCTAAAAAATAAATTCTATTAATTAAAAACAAAAAACAAAAAGCTTTTGCTTTGAAAGAAAACCCAGTAAGGGGATAAAAAATAAGCCACAAGCCGGGAGGAAATATTTACAAGCCACAGATCTGACAAAGCACCAGTATCTGGTATGTATAAAGAACTCTCAAAACTCAGCAGTTAAACAAATAATTCGATTAGAAAGTGGACAAAAGACATGAAGGGACATTTCACCGAAGAGGACATACAGGTGGTAAGTAAATACAAACACACCCAGCAGGCATGGTAAGATCCAGGCCAGACCAAGACTGACAGATCTGGTTGGTAAAGACACAATGAGCCCTTTTTAGATTTTGTCATTTTATCATTTATATAAACAGTGAAAGGGATTGTATACAAGTTCTGGTTCCTCATGGTCCTTGTTCCACACCAGAAAATATGATACTGAAGCCGAAAGGCTGGTGACTCCAGTGCGAGTTGTGGGACACTTTGTTGCTGAGGAGCCTATTCTAGTGGACAGTGAAGTGGTTTTATAGTCTGCAGCTATACCTTGAGGGGTTGGGCCAGAAAGCCCCATACCTCCTCAAAATCTGTAAACTGTAGAGAAACTGTCCCCATAGCAGGCTCCTAGAGGAGACAGAGGGGCAAGTGGGA